ACGGCTGTTTATAAAAAAATTTAGTTTGTTTACATTTGATAGTGCTCCAGTTAATTAAAAATTATAAAACGTGATAATTACTTAATGTTTTAATGTATTTTGTCTCCACTAAAATATTATTTATTTTCAATTTCCATCCCTATGTTAGCCCTATTAACCAAGTATTTATCTCTATTTTCAGTTAACAAATCTAAAGAGTACTGCACTAAACTAAAAAGAAAACAAATAGAACTGGTGTATTCTTAAATGTTGTTTACACGACAACGACTGCTTACGAAAGTTATAAATAAATATATAATGAATAATTAATACAAATACAATTTACATACAATAACCCAGAGAATGCGTGAAAAACTTGTAAACATTTACCAAGTAAAGGTCAGTAATTGTTTTAATTATTTTGTTTACTTTATTTTTCTTTCCTCTACTCGTAAAACAATAAACTAGTCCAAGTAGTTAGTCAGCCAACCAGCCCCACTTTACTTAAACAAACCGTTTCACAGTAAGGAGGGGGGAAAAACTTATAAATTTAAGTATTTAAGTAATATTACAGCAATTAACAATTTCAATATGGAAAATGAATATGATAGGAAAAAAAAAGGCGCAAAAAAATTAAGATTATATTTTTTTTCAGTTTACTCATGCATTGCGCAAAACTAACAGTGCCAGAGAGTTACAAACTGATGTGGGGGAAAAAAGGTAACAATAAATAAAAAGAAAAAAATATTATTATGACACGAATGGAATTAAAACAAAATAAAAAATTTAAATTAAAAGAAAAAATATCAAAATAAATTAATAAATGTATTTAAAGGCACGCATGTGAAGCAGTACTAGCAGTCTAAGAGTGACTCTTAAAATCTAAATTTTATATGAAAAATTTAAAGGAAAAAGAGAGAGCTAGCGATAAAGCCAATTTTTTTCTTGATATATAGTATAATACCAGTACATATAGTATTTATGTACTAAAATATGTATTTTATTGAATACACATACGATTGCCAGTAGAAGTCGTCGATTGTAAACGAGGGGAACTTTTTTTCTTTTATTATTATTTTGTTTATATTTGTCTAACAAGATACTTGTTTTTGTCTGTTCGGTTTCAATAAGAAAAAAACAAAAAAAAAAAAAACGTGGAATGAACAAAAATTCTCGGGCTGTTCCATAAATAATGAATGTTGTTATTGCCGCTGCAAACGATAAATGGTGCAGACACCGGTATAACACCAAGTGGCGTCTTACAGCAAGAAAAAGAAATGAAAAGAAGAAAAAACTTGTAAAGAGGGGCAGGGCCGTCTAACATAGTAAAGCATAAATAAAGGGTACCAACCATGCTTACAAAACCAGCCATGGCACTTAAAAAAACTACTATTTTTAACCATTTCTAACTTATGGTTAAAATTTAAAAGATGTACAATAATTTAAAAGAAACTTGAGAAGAAAATTGATAAATTAAGTTTTTTACTATTATTAATATTACATATTTTTGTTGAAATTATGAAATCTTTACAAAAGTAATGCTTTTTTTACATTAACCAAAGAGGCGTTGACTTTATACAGCCTCGTTATTTTTCCTATTTTTAGTCAGAATTACTTAACTTTTACATCATCTCTTAGTTAAACTTGACCCCCTCATTAAAATAAAAAAATTAACCTTGGTTTAGAAAATACAAAAACAAGATCATTTATTTGCTTTAAGCAACAGCATGATCATCATTTTCTGTTTTTAAAGCAAAGGAGAAGAAACAAAAAGAAAAACATTAAGAAAATGTTTGTTACTTTTCAGTTAATTGTGTTAATAGAAGAGGAATACTAATTATGCAATGTGAAAAACTTTATGTAACGGTGAAATATAACGGTAAAAAATAATATTAAAAGAAATATATACAAAACACTAATGAAAAACGAATCCCAATACAACCTAAATTGAAAAAGTAAACATTTTATACATGGAATTTCTGTAGTTGTTTAATAAATATTTATTTTTCTTTTCAATTGTTTATATTTTCTAAGGAATTGATCTACTAAATGCCTTATAAACAATGCTGCCACAATTATAACTAAATGACTGATTTAGTAAACAAATCTTGATTTTTAAATTTGGCAACATTGTTGCTCTAAATATGCATTGGTTATCGTTTAACGTCTGAGAATTAAGCAAAATTAAAGTATTTTTATAAAAAAATGTATAAAATAATCACAAAATACTTATAATAAAATCAAGCATAAAGAGTAGTTACTAAAAATTTGTTAAATTTATAAATAATATAAATAAATAAAAACTGATAACTACGATAACAAGCAAACATTGTTAATGATATCACGTGAATTTAACGCAGCACCCACTTTACAACCGAAAAAAAATAAATAAAATTTTACAAAATCCTTAAATTCCATTTTAAAAATGTTTAACTTTAAGAAACGAATGCTAAAACATTTTTGAAGAACCAATAAATATGTAGTATGTATCATTTTATATTTTATCTTTCAATTCTGTTTTTATATTATTTCTTTTATAACTTGTTTTTATATTTCTTTTAATATTATCTGATTTTTTCAATTATGGGGTTTGTGTTTTTTGCGCAGTCAAAGCGAATTGACCAGTACACAGCAAATACCAACAGCCAGACCATTAAAATTAGCAACAATCACAAACAAATTTTTTGTTATTGTCATCAATTAAATGAGTTTAAATAATTTCCTTCAAAATAGTGAAAATAATGTGCTCATTATTTATTTAAAAAAAAGTGTCATTGAACGTTTTATTATTGATTTTATTTAGCAGGTAAAATAAGTAATAGCTAAAACAGAATTAAAATAAAATTATTTAATAAATGAAAAACAAAACAATGAGGCACTTGTGATAATATTTAATAAACACATGTTTAAAATGGACTTTAAAATATGTAAGTGTTTTTTTTAGGTTCTTGACGTTTTGTTAACTATAGATTAATGACCTTAAACTTAAGTTCAATTTTTGTGTTTTTTTTTATATTTTTATGAAAAATATGATAAAGCAATATTTCTTCATCGAAACGTCAGCAAATTTTTCTATGACAGTTGTTGCTTTATGACTTTGAAATTGTTTAAACAAATGCATTATATATTTGTAGGTATATTATTATTTTTTGATAATAGACTGCAAATTAAAAATATCAATAAGTTTTTGTTGTTTAAACTTTTTATGTATTATCTAATTGTTATTATTAGTCGTCTGCATATAATTTCGAAATATTGCTGATCATATCTAATCGTCATTTATTTACTTTTTTCATTTCCACAGAGTTGATTTTTTAGGGGAAATATTTATATTCTAAGTGTTTAACAATAATTCCTTTAATCGTGCTGAATTTAGTTTGTCAGAAGATATGTTGTATCACCGATATTTGTTTACCAAACGGGAAATCAGCTACCACGCTATCGTGGAGCTTCTAGTAATAAGCTCCAGAGTAGAGTACGAGCAATATCGTGGTACATTTTAAAATTAAATGTCGGAATATTGTGTTGCTTTACAAAACGTAACTGCAGTAGTATGTCGAAAATTAAGGGTTTCTCCCAAACTTTAATTAAAAAACGAGAACTTTGAATTATAATCTTACACATTTTCATTTCCATAACTTTTTATTATATTATTTTTATGGTTACTAATAATACATTTCATTTTAATTATAATTAATATTTAAGAAAAAAAAACATCTGTTAATTTTTTGACATACACAAATAAAATTGATATTTATCAAATAATAGTTCTTTCATAGCCAATGTCTAGATTTGATAAATTTTTGTTATGCTAAACGTCAAATTGTTATTATGAAAGAAAAATGATCAGGTATAGCCACTTTTTATTAGTGTTATAACATAATTTAGACAAAGTTAGCAGAAAAATTGTTTAGACAACATTCTCTTGAGAACAAATATCATTTTATTGTAAAATTTTTATAGTATTTTGTTTTTGTGCAATTATTTTTGTTGCTGGTTATTATCCCTTTTAGCATGTACTGCCAAATTCTAAGAAAAGAACTTGGTTTTCTTTGGCAATAACCATTTATTGTCAACTCAAAAAAATCTTGGAACACCGGTGGGTGAAACAGTTAAGTGTTGTGATAAATATTTGTCAAGTATAGTCATGGGGCTAAGAACAGATCGAATGATAGCCGCCATTAATATATTTTAAAGTGCATTTTAAGTGGTTAAATTATGCGGTTGATTTTGTTAAATTTGTTTTAAAATAGTCGGTTTAAATATATTTTATTTTAAAATGATTTTTGAGGAAAAAAATCTTATCAGCTTTAGGCGGCCGCTGAGTGCTCTTACGCCGTTAACAAAGTAATCTCGCCTTTGCATTTCGCTTAAGATTTCTTCAAATTCGAAATAATTCAAAAATTTCAACGGTAATTAACTATATTTTAGGAATTTAAATAAGACAATTTAAGTTATTGAGTATTTAAGAGCAATATTTCCTATAAGATCTTGAATAAAACTTTAATTTGGTGAAAACTTTAGTTAATGATAAATTGATGTTAAAGAATGTCATATATCCAAGAAACGGTAATTTGAAAATTAGTTCTTAAATAAAGTTTTTTAATTATTTTTTTTCCAAATATTTTGAGATACATTTTTTTATCATTTTAATATTTGAATAGAGTGAGTGTGACACTCACTTCCTCAACAACGAAATGTATTTCTAAAATATTTCTCTTTTGTGTTTTTCTTGTGTTTTCAAAGTTTTAAACAAATAATTTAATTTTTCTACATATAAAATACGTTGTAGCACATTTTGTTTTCTTGTTTGTTTTAAAATATTTTCTTTGCTTCATTCTTTTAAATCGATGATTACGTTGTTTGTTAAGTTCTATATATTTTATATTCATTTGACAAAAAAAAAAAGAAACGATACACTAACATGAAAACGTATGACGATGATGATTAACAGAAATAATAAAGATTTTTATTTTATCTATTTAAAAAAATAATAATAGAAAACTTAAATTTAAGCCCACCTTTTCTTTGTGTAGAAGCAAACGTTAAATTTGGAGGAAAGTCTATGCCGCCATTGTTGTTTTCTTTAAAATATAGTTTTCAAAGGGATTTTTCTGGTTCTGGGTTTTAAAGTAGAATTGAATTGTCGTGTCAGCCAGTTTTTCAATATTCAGTAGACACTACTACGCTTTTAACAGCACTTATTATAATGTGGCGGCGTTAACGAGAATATAGTTGGAGGTTGCTTGGCGCTGTGGCTGACTTGACGAGTAGAGGCATAAAGTGGGTAACTCTAAAGTGTCTACACGGTGTGAGTGTGAAGTTAACAGTGGCCTGCTAACAAAATCTACGTCTTTTTCTCCAATTTCTTTTTGTTGTGTTATTATTTCGAAATGAGTTTTTGATGATGCGTCAGTTACCCAAAGAGCACAAAATGTAGCTTTTTTTACTTGTGTTTTGTTGTTATTGTTAAAATGAAAACAAACTAAATATTTGTTTTTCTTGTTATAAACTTAGAAAATAAAAAATCGGTGGTAGAGAGAAATATATAACGATTTTGTGTGTGTGTGTTTTTTTGTATTGTGGTAGTCACTCTCAAATAATTTTAAATAATTTAAGTAAAGTCTTTTGTTTTTGTTATTTTTTTAAGTGTAGCAGTTAATTGGAAGATATATCACAGATGATTTGCAAAGAATTTCTATATTTTAAATGAGATTTAACTATTTTTTTTCTCAATCTATCTCTCTCCTTCTCGTTCTTTCTCTGGCGTTTTGACTGGCTCTCACTTGTTGTCGGTAATTTTTTTTGCAGCCTCTTTTATTTATTTTATTGAGTGTGATGCATTCGTTCATTCAGTTTATGTTAATACTTAACATTATCTCTTTAAAACTGTTACGTTTGTTGTTGTTGCTGCTGTTTGTAGTGCTGTTAACAGTTTGGTGTTATCAAATATGTTATAATGACACATTATACTGTTAGCTGATGATTTGTTGTTTTGTTTTTGTGTTTTTTTAATAAATAGTTTCTTTTTTGTGTATATTATTTTAGTGAAGGTGCTTTTTTAATTTATCTCATCTTTTTTGTTGTTGTTTTCTTTGCTTAAGTTGTCAGTTTAGGTTTGTTTTTTCTCTCTCTCTTTTTCTTTAAATTTTCATTTATTAAAACTTTAAGATTCTTTTTTAGTGATTTTTTTTGTTATTGTTAATGACGTAGTCAAATAGTAGTAAAAAATAGTAGAGTAGTAAAAAGAATATTGAAAATTTATTAGAAAAATTAATCAATCAGCCTTTAAATAACATTGCAATGATTTCATAAGGATATTTTTTTTTTACATTTTCATAAAAAGCACTTAAAAACTAGTATGAAAACTTTTTTTTGCTATTCTTTACATCAATTTAAAGAATGCATTAGATTTTCTTTTACACTTTTTCTTTAAGAATTTGGATTTACTGTGTTGGCGACGTGTTTTTATTGGACGGTATATGGCGGCAAAGCGTACAAATGACTATGACCGGCAAAGAATTTTTATATTTTGTCTGCTTTTACGAACCGAACCGCACGACGAATAAGCGATGTTAACACAGTAAAATAAAATTAAAAAGAAAAACAACAACAAAATGTTGTATTGTTGTTTTTGTGTTTTATTTCATCTTTTATTTTTCGTATCTAGATACTATTTAAGGCCGGTTTTTGCGTTTTCTTTCATTATATATTTTTCTTGATATTTTTTTTTTTTGGTTTTTGGGTTAAAAACGATTTATAACGATTTTAAACGAAGAAATTTTTTCTTTTCAAAATTTGTTTAACTTATTGCAATTGATTTTTCTTTCACATTTAAGAACTTTTTCACTTTATAATTTAATTTTTACTCTTCAAAAACTTCGTTTTGAAAACGCCTCTTCGTCTTGCTTTTTTTCAACATTTATTTTAGTTATACAACCCCAAAAACAATAACAAATTTTCATATATACAATATACTTTTTTCATTAAAAAAAAAAACAACAATATAAAAGAAATTGTGTAAAAGGTTTAATTCCACCGCGACATTAATAAAAAAACCAAAACTTATTCATTTGTATGAGAAGAAATAAACACACCACAACCATTAATGAGTGTAGCAAACGAAGCACTAAATGTTGCGCTCTATAGAAAAACGCCAACAAGTTAAAAAAAAAAAATTATATACTAGGAGAAGAAGCAGCAGAAAAGAGCAGCGACGAAATATTTTTTTATAAGAAAAATAAAAACAAATTTCAAACAAACAACAACAAAACAGCGGTGATAAAAATGAAAATTCAATCCACACACATCACAAATATACAAAAATATATATGTAATAACAAAAAAGGGGGAGAAGATTAACGAGCTCTCATTTTACTAAATGTAAATAACAGTGAAAGAGTGAGAGAACAGGGGGAGACTTAAAAGTTAAAGCAATATATAAAGAAACAAAGCTACCAGATTTGGAGGTTTAAAATAAATTTACATTTATTTAAACGATTTTCTTTAATTTACATATTTCCTTTTAATTTTATTTACATATTATAACGATTTTTTGCAAGTAAAGTGAGATAATCCTTTTTCTATTCAATAGTACCTTTTTTAAAAAGGCCTTGATTTAAATGTTGCCTTATTTTAAGGTGTAATTTTTAAGCAATTTTGTTTTTGAATCCAATAGTAAAAGCTGGGAACTTTAATATTTAATTTCCCTTTAATTATTTATAACTTTAAATTAATTATACATAATTCCTTAAGTAACTACAAGTATAATTGTAAATTGTAAAAACTAACTCTGTAGCTATTCAGAAAAAAAAAACACATTTACTTTACATATTTACTTATATATTTTTGTACAATATACCTAAGGACGTCATTTAAAATTTTAAAAACGTTTTTGTTTTAACTTTTATACCTACATTTTTTTCTTAATATTATTGTTGTTTCTTTAAAATGATGACGTATTTTTTATGTTGAGGGCTCTTAGATACACAATCTGAAAAAAACCATGAAACGATTTAGAGGCAGCATTAGCTAGCGTGCGTTTCGTTTGTGTTTCTTTTGTTTTTTTTTTTTTTCTAGGGGGAATTTGTTTGAACTGAAAAAATGTGTGTGTGGGGTTTGATTTTACCCCCAACAAACCGATTGACAATTGGAAAAAAGTTCAATGATTTGGTTTAAAAAGAGTTTTTAAAGTTTTTTCTTTGAGTTTAAATGCAATTATTCAATGCCTATGTATATATGTATGTTTTATTCTTGCAAAATTTACCTAAAAAAGCCTAATAAATTTCAGTGATACAATCGGAACATAACATTTGTCTATAGTCTAGTCTACAGTCTAGTCTATAGTCTAGTCTATAGTCTAGTCTATAGTCTAGTCTATAGTCTAGTCTATAGTCTAGTCTATAGTCTAGTCTATAGTCTAGTCTATAGTCGTCTAGTCTATAGTCTAGTCTATAGTCTAGTCTATAGTCTAGTCTATAGTCTAGTCTATAGTCTAGTCTATAGTCTAGTCTATAGTCTAGTCTATAGTCTAGTCTATAGTCTAGTCTATAGTCTAGTCTATAGTCTAGTCTATAGTCTAGTCTATAGTCTAGACTATAGTCTAGTCTATAGTCTAGTCTATAGTCTAGTCTATAGTCTAGTCTATAGTCTAGTCTATAGTCTAGTCTATAGTCTAGTCTATAGTCTAGTCTATAGTCTAGTCTATAGTCTAGTCTATAGTCTAGTCTATAGTCTAGTCTATAGTCTAGTCTATAGTCTAGTCTACAGTCTAGTCTTTGGTGTAGTCTATAGTCTAGTCTATAGTCTAGTCTAAAGTCAAGTCTATAGTCTAGTCTATAGTCAAGTCTATAGTCTAGTCTATAGTCTAGTCTATAGTCTAGTCCATAGTCTAATCTATAGTCTAGCCTATAGTCTAGTCTATAGTCTAGTCAATAGTCTAGTCAATTGCCTATAGTCTAGTCTATAGTTTAGTCTATAGTCTAGTCTATAGTCTAGTCTATAGTCTAGTCTATAGTCTAGTCTATAGTCTAGTCTATAGTCTAGTCTATAGTCTAGTCTATAGTCTAGTCTATAGTCTAGTCTATAGTCTAGTCTATAGTCTAGTCTATAGTCTAGTCTATAGTCTAGTCTATAGTCTAGTCTATAGTCTAGTCTATAGTCTAGTCTATAGTCTAGTCTATAGTCTAGTCTATAGTCTAGTCTATAGTCTAGTCTATAGTCTAGTCTATAGTCTAGTCTATAGTCTAGTCTATAGTCTAGTCTATAGTCTAGTCTATAGTCTAGTCTATAGTCTAGTCTATAGTCTAGTCTATAGTCTAGTCTATAGTCTAGTCTATAGTCTAGTCTATAGTCTAGTCTATAGTCTAGTCTATAGTCTAGACTACAGTCTAGTCTTTGGTGTAGTCTATAGTCTAGTCTAAAGTCAAGTCTATAGTCTAGTCTATAGTCAAGTCTATAGTCTAGTCTATAGTTTAGTCTATAGTCTAGTCCATAGTCTAGTCTATAGTCTAGCCTATAGTCTAGTCTATAGTCTAGTCAATAGTCTAGTCAATTGCCTATAGTCTGGTCTATAGTTTAGTCTATAGTCTAGTCTATAGTTTAGTCTATAGTCTAGTCTATAGTCTAGTCTATAGTCTAGCCTATAGTCTAGTCTATAGTCTAGTCTATAGTCTAGTCTAAAGTCTAGTCTAAAGTCTAGTCTATATGCTATGGTATTAAAATAAAAGTTTAAATATTGTTTTTTTATTTAAAATAACACCCTTTTTCAATACTAAATAAAAAATATTTTCATTAAAGTACTTTTTAAACAAAAAATCAAATTCTCTCTCTCTCTCAAATTTATATTATCAGTGTTTTACATGTGCTTTAGTTTAATAATTTTTGCAACAAAAACTGGAAAAAAACTAACAAAACCTATAGAAAATTTGTTCTGTTTAAAAATTTGTTTAGTTTTTTTTTTTTTTGCTACTCACATGTGCTTTTTTGCTAATTTGAGAAAATCTTGAAAATAAAAAAATAATTAAATGTTCTCACATTTAATTTTATATCACTACATTGTGGTTTAAATTTCCAATCATTCTACATGTTAATCAGAAATAAAATTCAAGGAATTTTAAGAGTTTTTTTTTCCAACTTAGAGGCAAATTATAATCACAAATAAGTAACCACTGGCGCCTTATTCATGTTTTTTACAAAACAACTTTAAAATAACTATTTTATATACAAAAAACATTGATAACTATAAACAAATTTACAAAAATTGCTTTAAATTGTTTATAATTACAAAGAATGTTAAACGTTTAGTTTTTTTTTATAAAATGTGTTATTGTAATGACAACCATTAAACAAAAAAAAACCTTCAAAATTTGTAAATACATATTTCCAAAAGCCACAGAAATTATAAATGAAAGACACATATAAAATATGTTAAACAAGTTTTTCTTAAAGAACTGGACAAAAAAAAAACACAAACAGCATGGAAAAAAGAATTCCATAGTAAAAAACCACAAGCAAAAACAAATTTACACATTTTATTTGGCAAAAACAATTTGTTTTGTTTTATTTCTTTTTCTGCTTTAAGCAAAAACAGGAAACAGAATTTCCAAAAAGAAACAGTAAAAAACAAATGTTAAACCTAAAATTAAAGCACACACTATTTTATTTGCTCTTTAGCAAAATTTTACACTCAAAAAATATCATGATGAATATAGAATACACAAGTGTTTCTTCTTGTGGACTGCAGACAAAAATTGTTAGTGTATTGGACTAGAGTGGAGTTGAAAGAAAAAGCACACTGGCAAAAAAACAAAAACATACAGAAGAAAAACAAAAGTAAAGAAAAGCAAAAGCTTTGCAGAATATTTTACATAAAAAATGTTAAAACTGAGCGAATGAGTGATGTTTATTTACATTATTGCGTCTGCATGTAGTGGTGGCAACAGAGTCTGCAAAAAAAAAAAAAAATAAAAACAAAAAACGGAAGTGACGTTTGCTTATATCCATATGACTGTGTAGTTGTTGTTGTTGCATTTGTTTATGTTTTGTTTCATTTAAAAATATTTAACAGTTTAACAACACAGGGTGGCATTTTCTGTGTGTTTGTATGTTTGAGTGAGTTTGTATATCGGCAAAATTTTTATGTACACACAGAGCAATAACAACAACAGCAACATCATTTTGACAAGTTAATCAAACTTTAAGTATTGAGAGGGTTGCCAATGTTAGATTTAACATAAAAACTATGGCATTTAAAGGGAAATTAAATAAATAAGATATTTTTTAAAGAATAAAAATGGGAAATTATTTGTCGATAAAAAATAGGAGTGGAAAATGTAAAATTTTAAAGAAAAAATAAAATGTTTGCCTGTTATAGATTTTTTTTGTAAAATCTATAAGTTTATCATAAAAATTGCCTAAAAATTTGTACATTTTCAAATATTTTTCGTGAAATTCTGAATTTATAAGAACATTTTTGATAAAATATTTTATTAAAGAAAAATTTTGTTTCTAAATTCTTTCTTTTTATAATATTTTTCGACAAAGGAGACATTTTATCATTTGTCGAAAGACTTTGACAAAAATTATTTTAAACTAGCTATACCCAGTGTGCTTCGTTACCCTCAAAGCAATATATGTACACATTCTAGTATTGAATTTATATGGGAGGCGCAGTACCTACTATTGCATAATCACCCATTTTTTCCCAACTTTGAAATACATATAAATATTTCAATGTTTCCCGTGCCAAATTTCAGAATTCTAGCTCTAATGGTTTCCCAGATATACGTTTTTAGTTCATATGGGAGCCACGCCTTTTACAACTTTTTGTTCATGCAAAATAAGGACATTCTAGCCAGATATACGATTTTTTTATTTACATCACATGGAGGCACCACGCCCTCTATTGCTAGTACGCCCATATATTCAAAATTAGAGGATTCTAGCCAGATATACG